CAACCTGTTGACTTGTTTTTCATGATTTTCTTGCATCATTTTCATTTCTATTCCCAGTTTTTCCTCTACTTCTCTTACTTGTTTCTCAAAATCCTTTTTGAGCTCTTCCATGGCCTGAGATTGATTCATATTTTTCTTGGAGGCTTCGGATGTGGGAGCTTTGACTTTGTTGTCTTCTTCTGGTTGTATGTTTTGATCTTCTTTGTTACCAAAGAAAGATTCTATGGTCTGACACTTCTTGAGAGGTTTGCTCATGATCCCAGCTGATTACTTGAGTTTTAAACTCTTTTTTAAGGTAAGAGTCTGCTTCCAGTGTGGAGAATGTACAAGTGCAAGGTGTTTACTCCTTTCCTGGCCTTTGCTGTGGTCTATGAGTGACCACAAGCACACTTTTCTGCCTTGGAACTGGGAGGAGGATTCTCTCTTCACTACAAGCTCCACCAGGCCAGCATTCCACCTTACCCCAGGATCGCCACCCAGAACTGTGACCCAGATCTAAGCATGGCCAAAGCAAGAGAATCCTGCACCAGTAGAGAGAACCCTGCAATCCCCCTCTGGTCAGCCACTCGATTCTCCCTCAGTCTGTGGGCCAGAAGCTCCAGAAGCAGCCACCACCTCGGGCCAAGCTCAGGGATTAGGGTTGGGACTGTGCTTCTCTCTCTCACTGCAGACACATACTTTTCCCACTGACTTTCTAAGTTGTCTTTGGTGCTCATGGGTTGAGAAGTTTGAAAACTCCACTGTTGCAGGCAATTCAGTCCTCTGAGGCCTCCTCTGGGTTCACTGAGGCCTGGCTTGCCTGCATGCTCATGACAAACTGTGCTTCTCTCAGCCTGGTACAACATACCTTTCCAATCAACCATCCAGTCTGTCTTGGGTTGCAAATTTGTTTCACTGTCTCGCCTTAATCACTAAATGAGGCATTGCCTCAGTCAAACTGAGACCCCTTAACTTAAAAAAGCCAAGGTCTCCCTCTGAATCCAGGGCCATCTCCAGTCCTCCTGATCTATACCTTACCATAGGATCCACAGGCTTAAAAAGGAGAAAGTAAGGCTGGTGACTTTGCAAAGCCCTCCCTCACTTAAATCCAATTTACTTGCATGTCATGGCAATACCTCCCTGACGTCATGGTCCTCTTCAAGAATAACACCCTACTGCCTTTTATAGAATGGCAGAATATAACTAGAAGACATTTTAAAATTCAGTGAGAGAAGATTTCAACTGTTCAGGCATCAGATGAAGATTTCTCTCTTGCATAAGCGGAGAAGTTTTCAGCTTTCCTTGCTAATAAGTTCATGCTTCAGATGGTAAAGAGGTAAGTAGAAATATTTCAGACTGCATTCTGACACAAAGGAAATGGTGTAGCTGGGTGGATAGAATGCTGGACTTGAAATCAGAAGACTTGAGTTCAAATTTGAAATTAGACACTTAGTAGCTGTATGACCCTAGGAAAATCACTGCACCTCTCTCAGCTTCTGTTTCCTTGTCTGCAAAATGAGGATAACAACATATCTACCTTGTGAGGTTTGTTGTGAGTACCAAATAAGATAATATAGGTAAAATGCTTTGCAAATCTCAAAGAACTACACAAACACACACACATACACATCCACATGTGTGTTTATGTGTATTATATATATGCTAGAGTGATGATGTTAATGATGATAATTGATGGAACTGATTGTGACCAGTAAAGAAAGATTGATGGTAAAAATAATAAAAAATAAAATCAGGAATCTTGGAATTAAATGACTATACTAAATTAGAGTTAATTGTACATAAAAAGTAATTATTAAGTATTTTCTAACACATACTCTTGACTTTAGAAAAGTAGATTCAAGATTTAGAAAAAAGATAGGCAGGATTCTAAAGCGTATATGACTAGGGATCTCATGAGTGATGAATGAACTTGAAAGTCAGATTTGACAACACCAATCACAAATTATCCCAATGAGGAAGAAAGGAGAAATTACTTAAGGGGTGAATGAGGCTGCACAAGGACTCAATAAAATAAGAATGAAAGTCATGATAGAAATAAGCAGAAAAAGTAGCTATAGGAAACTGATGTAGATGTGAAGGGCAAAATACCCACTTACAGAAGGAAACCTAATGGCATGTGAAAGATACATTGAAGGAAGGCAAGGTAGGAGGCAGGGGAAGACCAGTGGAGGATATTTTGGCACTGATCAAGGCATGAAAATCATAATGCCCAACTGTCAGTTTTTTTCCTTAGAAACTTTCCCTTTTGGTGAAAGACAAGTGTCTTTCTTGGTTGAGCAAATATCTCTCTTGCCTCTAAAGAGCTCATTCACTTTTGTGTATTTTTCTGGCATATTCTAACCTATATACCTCCAATTTCTCTTTGTTTGGATAAATGGCTTACTCACTATTCACTATCTGTGATGGACTTCTTCATATTTGGAATTGGGCAGGAAAAAAAAATTAAATCTGTGGATGTAAACTTAGGGTAACCCTTGCCTCATAAGAGGGACCATGGAAGTGGAATTTTGTTTTGAATCTAAATTATGCCCATAAGATCAGGAATATTTAGGGGACCAACAGATAAATTTCCAGAGTAGTACCCTTCTCAGAGATTGAAGGAAAGACCCTTCTTTGCTCACAAGTCAGGAATCTTAGTCTCCTTTCGACAGAGGAAAAAATTCCACAGATATGTATCAATTTCTCTCAAAAGCCACATTTATAAAACCCATGTAGACATGTATATGTACAGAGGCACACATACAATTTCCATATAATTAATTTTGAAGGAAGTTATTCGGAGTGAGGACGTTCCAGAAGGACAACATAGATTTTACAATGCATAAGAGAGATAATAGAAGAAACTTGGTGTAATGGATAGATTTTTTGTACTTGGAGGCAGGAAAACATGGGTTCAAATTCCACTATAAACATTTACCAATTATGTGATTATAGATAAGTCAATTAATCCCTATGTGTCTTGGGCAATCCCCTAAAACTATGTTATAGAAGAACTGCAAACTATAACTTAGATACACAATAGAGAAAAGAAAAAGAAACAAATTATAAACTTAAAAATTTAAACAAATACAAATAAGAAAATAAAAAAGGCATGTCATGTGCACAGCAGAACATAAGGGAGGATTCACAATATATAGTAATAAATTTCCATTTCAAGAAAGCCTATATAATAAATATTATGCATTGTGTTGGGAACTGTCTATCTTTTCTTCGATTCCTTGTAAGGTTTCTTTTGTTCTCTGCTGTGCGCTTTCTACTTTTTTTTCCCCATCCCTTCCTTGCTCTGCCAGAGAAAGCTACAATTGAATGTGGATGTATTTATATATAAATATACATATATATATATACATATATATGTACATATACATAAACATATATATGTACATAAATGCATATATATACACATATATATATACATATACATAAACATAAACATATATATGTACATAAATGCATATATATATATATACACACACGCACATTTACTTTCCCTAACAAATTCTACTCCTTTGTTTTCATGTTAGTGCATACCTCTTATTTCCTATCCCTCCTGACTCTTCTATTCTATTTCTACCCACTACCTTGCCCTCCTATTACTTAACCTATGCCCTGTCCAAGGATCCTTCCCCTATCTTTCCATTCTCATAAATCTAAGTATCCTTTTATACCCTTCTTTGACCTATTCCCTCACTCTCCCCTCTAAAGATCCCTCCCTGATCCTCTCCCTCTCCCTATCCCTTTAGCATTTTATTTCTTTCTGAATTTAGAAGACTTTTCTATTCTTCTAGATATATATGTATTGTTCCCTCTTGAACCCATTCTCAATAAAAGTAGGTTTCCAGAACTAACAGCCCTCCTCCCCCATCTAATTCTTCTAGGTTGGTTCTTCCTCTGGCACCTCATTTGTATGATAATTCTTATTTTTAGCTATTCCTAAATTGTTTTACTTTATAAAGTCATACGATATTCAGGTCTACCCCAGTCTTCCTTATGAACTATCCAGTTACTAATAACAACCTTAGACATATGTTTTACATTTTACATACATAAAGAGTAAACAATCTGTTCTTATTGAGTCCCTTGTAATTAATCTTTGTTATGTGCCACATAGTTCTCTTGGCTCTTGTATATGAAATCTTCTATTAAGTTCAGGTTGTTTTTATTTTTTAACAAAGTTCTGAAAGTCTGACAATTCATTAAAAATCCTTTTTTTTTTCATTCAGGATTATGCTTAGCTTTGCTAGGTATGATATTTTCAGCCAGAACCTCAGTTCTTTTGTTTTTTAATACACAGAGTTCTAAGATCTGTGGTCTTTTATGCTAGGTCTTGTGTGATTCTAATTGTGGTACCACCATATTTAAATTGTTTTTTCTTTTCTTGTTGCTTGTAATGTTTCATCCCTGAGCTGTGGGTTTCAGGATTTGACTGTAATACTTCTGCAGGTTTTCCTCATAGGATATCCTTTAGGTGGTGATCAGTGGATTTTTTTCTATTTCCACTTTTCCCTCTTGTTCTAATGCTTCAGGAAATTTTTCTTTAACTATTTAATGTATTATTTTATCAATATAATCTCCTTTGAAAGGCACTTTTGAGAACTGTTGACCTAAAAAAGAATCCCACATGCCTTTAAGATTTGGACTTTTTATTCTTCATTGGAAAAGATTTGGATAACTAAAAAGGAACATGAAATACTGACAGCTGCATGTGCTCATCTGTGAAACTTCCATTTGAAAGTAAGTATATTCACATGAAAAACAAATTTTAACTACTGTAAAACAAAACAGTAAGATTTGATAATTGATAATATTTCTTCCAGCTATATAAAGTAACATGATTTTTCTGTATAATCATAGCATATGATATTATTACTATAGACAGTGAAAATATTATGGTGAATATTAACCAGGTACCCAAGACAAATAGGCAACATTATACGAACAAATATTCAAAAGAATCTCTAATATGGTGTAATTGTTCGACTTTTGAGACACACATTTACCTGAGGTGCACTAGTTGCAACCAGAAAAGCATTTGTCCTTCCTGGGTGATCATAATCATGCATGGCTGCAGCCACATAGAGAGCCATCAACTCTAGGGCAGGGATATTGCCAGCCAGGCATCCACATTTATCATCTGCTGCTGAATACATTTTTGAAAATACATATCCCATGTGTCCATGTGTGATTCCACTATCAGAATCTGAGAAGAGATATTTTAAAAAGGCATCATTTAAATATCATCATTCAGTACACACACACACACACACATACACACACGTGATAGCATTTGTCACCAATCTAATCTGGCTTTTAATACCCAAACATAGAGTCCTTAAATACACAAACAATAGTAAATTTTGAATTTTACTTAGTCTTTCAACTAAGATGCAAACTACTTATAAGAGAGAACAAATACCTGAATCACTTGCTGATCCATGGTCATTCATCACAGTGGAGAGGCCTGGAATAGGCTGAGTAGTAAGATACCAAACAGCATGTAAAACATCAGTGGCATGCACTCTGTTGTGATCTGTAAAAGAAAAACAAAAAGGTACACTTATCTCATTATATCTGCAACCAGAACAAATGAATCTATGTTGACCTAATGCTGTTTTTGTCCAAGGACCAAGAGTGACATCTGCTGGATAAATAATTGAAATCCAATTAAAAATCAACCAACACAAAATAGTCAAATGCATCGATTAGTGGAATATTATTTTACGTCATCCATAGCAACAAAAATAACCAGTGCCCACAATACTTATTATAAGGGTAGATATAAAAATGTCTATTGACAGACAAAAGTCAAAGTACACAAGTAATCTATGAATATAGGACCGTATCTGAAACTATGACTGAACAGAATTTTCATTCTTTTTTGTTTACATGTTCCTATAGCAAACACTGATTAGGAAAAAAATATAAAAATACATTAAATGCTACAGTTATGTCATAAAACCATAGAATTTAGGACCAGATGGGCCCTTTGAAATTATCTAGCCCAATAGCTTCCTTTATTTAATTTTATTTTAATAGGTGAGAAAAATGAAACTCTGAAAGAAGACATGACTTTCCCAGTTTCATAAGCCCTTTCCTGGCCACCACTTTTTACAAATGCTCAGGACAAAGGGTCAACACATTACTTTGGGGGCATGGAAGGCTCCTCCTGAAGAGTACTCCAAATTAAGTACAATGAGACAGGGGATTTACATACACATTTAAGATTATTGTTTGCTTAAGGTTTTTATTTTGTTTACTTATTTTAATAGAAAAAACTTAAAGACTCTCTGAGTCTATCCAGGATTCCTTACTTTGATATGCCCCACATGAATTTGTACTATTTAGTCACTTTTCCAGGCCAAAATTGATTTTTTTCACTCAATTTCCCTATCAAAATCTACTTATGATATCTCCCATCCCAAGCTACACTGTAACTATCACAGTAGAAACACCTGAAAACTAACCTATGCTTAGTTATTAATCTTTAATAATCAGTGTCATCAATAAATATTATTAATAATGTTTGTCATTTCAAGTTTGAAGGTCTGCACAACATTTTGTATATGTGACTTCATCTGATCCTCACGATAACCCAGTGAAGTGGATAGTACATTATTATCTCCACTTATAAAAATAAAAACTAAGGCCAAGAAACTACTGTAGGCAACCTGTTCAGATCAATGATTAGTAAATGGCAAGGTGAAGACTTGAATTTAATTTGAGGGTTCTTTCTATATGATTTTCCCAATTTATTATAGATGGTGGAGTGAGGCAGAAGTCACCTTGCGTTATATCACAAGAACTGGTTTTAGTTCAATTTTCTGATTTCACCATAAGCCCATCTTGAGGCTAGAATATCCTAACTATATCTTCACATCCTCCACCCACCTTTCACACTAGATATCCCATGGAGTTAGACTCACTCTAACCTTTTCTCCTAGGACAGAATGCAGTTATTAATGTCTTAATGCTTCTTATGCAATAGGCTATTTCCTAAACCTGGGATGGAGTCCCTTTTCACCTCTACCTTTCTTAGGATCTTCCCTTCTGAGAGTGATTCTTTTGAGTAGGCAAACTAGGGCATCTTTTGCCTCAATTCTTACCTAGTCTTATATCACTGAATGGGTGTTGCCTCTGACAAACTGAAACCTGGGAAGGACCTTAGCTTAAAAAGGCCAAGGTCTTCCACTGCATCCAGGGTTTTCTCCAGTCATCTTAACTTAATGTTTTGCCACAGGACTGAGATGACTCTGGAGGAGACAGTGGGGCTGAGTCCTTTGTACAGCCTAGCCTCACTTAAATTCAATTCACTTGCAAGATATCATCCTCCTGATGTCATTAGTCCTCTTTGAGACTGAAGAACTACCAGCAATAATTACATTAAAAGTGCAGCCCTAGTTTGGAGAAGATGTTGTCCACTCCTATTGAATGAAACATTTTGCCTCTTGCCCGTTGTACGTACCCCAATTTGCTTAAGAATATAGTTCAGCGTAAAATACCTCATTGGTAAAACAACTGACCTGGAAAATAGATCCAGGAAAGAAAAAACCATTGGTCTAACTGAAAACCATGATGAAAAAAAGAGCCTAGACAGCATCCTTTAGGAAATTATCAAAGAAAACTGCCCTGAGGTCCTAGGACCAGAGGCTAAATTAGTTATTGAAAGAATCTACCAATCACCTTCTGAAAGAGATCCCAAATTGCAAACACCAAGGAATATAGTAGCTAAATTCCAAAATTATGAGATCAAAGAGAAAATACTGCAAGCAGCCAGAAAGAAACAATTTAAATATCATGGAACCACAGTCAGGATTACACAGGCCCTCACAGCTTCTAAACTGAAAGATCAGAGGGCATGGAATATAATATTCTATAAGGCAAAGGAGCTTGGATTACAACCAAGGATCAACTCCCCAGCAAAACTGAGCACAATCTTTCAGGGGAGGAGATGGATATTCAATGAAATAGGGGACTTTCAAAACTTCCTGATGAAAAGACCAGAGCCCAACAGAAAATTTGACCTTCAAATACAAGACTCAAGAGAGGCATAAAAAGGTAAACAGGAAAGAAAAAACAACAACATATTATTATTATTATTAAGGCCAAACTATTTACATTCCTACAAGGGAAGATGACACTTTTAACTTTTTAGAATTATAATGGCATTATGACATTTAAAAGGGGGCATACTTAGAAAGTGTGGGTTTAAGTTGACTTTGATGTAATGGTAAAAATTTTAATTAAGTGATAAAAGGGGATTGTACAGGGAGAAGAAGGAGGAGGCAGACAAGGATAAATTACATCACATGAAAAGGTACAAAACCCAAATACAGTAGAGAGAAAGAATGGAGGGGGATAAGCATTGTTTGAACCTTACTCTCATCAGATTTGATTCAAAGAGGGAATAGAATAAACAGTTAGGTAAAGAAATCTAGCTTACCCTATTGGAAGTAGAAAGGGCAAAGGGAAAAGAAAAGGGAGGGGACTAATAGAAGGGAAGGCAGACTGAGGGAGGTGGTGGTTGAAGGTAAAACTCTACTGAGGAGGGAAAGGAAAAAGGAGAGAAAAAAGCATAAATGGGAAGGATAGGATAGACAGTAAATCACAGATAGTAATCATAACTGTGAATGTCACTGGGATAAACTCTCCCATGAATTGGAAATTGATAGCAGAGTGGATTAAAAATCATAATCCTACAATATGTTGTTTACAAAAAATACATTTGAAGCAGAGGAATACACACGGAGTAAAGGTAAAAGGCTGGAGCAAAATAGATTATGCTTCAGCTAAAGTTAAAAAAAAAAAAGGTAGCAATCCTGATCTCAGACAAAGCAAAAGCAAAACTAGATCTAATTAAAAGAAATAAAGAAGGAAACTACATCCTGGTAAAAGGTACCATAGATAATGAAGTAATACAATTACTAAACACATATTCACCAAGTGGTATAGTAGCCAAATTCTTAAAGAAGTCAAGGGAGATACAGGAAGAATAGAAAAACTATACCAGTTGGAGACCTCAACCTCCCCCTCTCAGAACTAGATAAATCTAACCACAAAATAAACAAGAAACAAATTAAGGAGATCAATAGAATCTTAGAAATATTAAATATGGTTGACCTCTCGAGAAAACTGAATGGAGACAAAAAGGAATATACTTTTTCCTCAGCAATACATAGCAACTACACACAAAAAAAATTTGACCTTGTACTAGGGCATAAAAACCTCACATTCCAACAGAGAAAGGCAGAAATATTAAATGCATCCTTTTCAGATCACTATGTAATAAAACTTACATGCAGTAAAGGGCCATGGAAAGATAGACTAAAAATTAATTGGAGACTAAATCATCTAATCCTAAAGAATGAGTGGGTCAAACAATAAATCAAAGAAACAATCAGTGACTTCATCCAAGAGAATGACAATAATGAGACAACATACCAAAACTTATGGGATGCAGTGAAAGCAGTTCTTAGAAGAAGTTTTATATTTCTAAATATTCATATGAATAAAATAGAGAAGGAAGAGATCAATGAAATGAGCGTGCAACTAAAAAAGCTAGAAAAAGAACAAATTAAAAATCCTCAATTAAATATCAAATTAGAAATTCTGAAAACAAAAGGAGAGATTAATAAAAGTAAAATTAAGAAAACTATTGAACTAATAAATAAAACTAAGAGCTGGTTTTATGAAAAAAACAATAAAATAGATAAACCTCTGGTTAATTTTATTTAAAAAAAAAACAAAGAAGAAAACCAAATTACCAGCATCAAAAAGAAAAGAGTGAATTCACCACCAATGAAGAGGAAATCAAAACAATAATTAGGAGCTATTTTGCCCAACTATAGGCCAATATATTTGAAAATCTTAGTGAAATGGAAGAATATTTACAAAACTATCAATTGCCCAGAAAACATGAGGAAATAAAATACTTAGCCCCGTTTCAGAAAAAAGCAATTGAACAAGCCATCAATAAACTCCCTAAGAAAAAATATCCAGGGCCACATGGATTTACAAGAGAATTATATTAAACATTTAAAGAACAACTCATTCCAATATTAGGTAAACTATTTGGGAAAATAAGTGAAGGAGTTCTACCAAATTCTTTTTATGACACAAATATAGTGCTGATATCTAAACCAGGAAGAGCTAAAACAGAGAAAGAAAATTATAGACCAATTTTCCTAAAAATATAGATGCAAAAAATTTAAATATAATATTATCAAATAGATTATTTATTACAAGAATCATAAGAAAGAGCAACTTATCACAAGAATAATACACTTTGACCAGGTAGGATTTATACCAGGAATGCAGGGCTGGTTCAATATTAGGGAAACTCAGCATAGTTGACCATATGAATAACAAAACTGACAAATCATATTATTATCTCAATAGATGCAGAAAAATCATTTGACAAAATACAACACCCATTCATATTAAAAACACTTGAGAGCATAGGAATAAATAGATAGTATCTATCAAAACCTATCAACAATCATTATGTGCAATGGTGATAAGCTAGAAGCATTTGCAATAATATTGGAGGTGAAACAAGGATGTTCATTATCACTACTGTTATTCAATATTGTGCTAGAAATGTTAGCTGTAACAATTAGAGAAGAAAAAAATGAAGGAATTAGGATAGACAAAGAAGAAACAAAATTGTCACAATTTGCAGATGATATGATGGTATATTTAGATATTCCTAGGGAATCAAGTAAAAAATTACTTGAAATAATAAATTTAGCAAAATTGCAGGCTATAAAATAAACCCACATGAATCATAGACATTTCACATATTACTAACAAAGCCTAGCAGCGTGAGACAGAAAGAGAAATTCCATGTAAAATTACTGTAGACACTATAAAACTTTTGGGAGTCTACCTGCCAAAACAAAACCAAGAACTATATGAACAAAATTGCAAAACACTTTTCACACAAATAAAGTCAGATCAAAAGAATTGGGAAAATATCAGTTGCTCATGGTAGGCTGAACTAATATAATAAAAATGAAAATTCTGACTAAATTTATTTATTTATTTAGTACCATAACAATCAAACTACCAAAAATTATTTTATAGAACTGGAAAGAACAATAACATAATTCAGCTGGAAGAACAAAAAGTCCAGAATATCAAAGGAACTAATGAAAAGAAATGCAAGGGAATGTGGCCTATCTGTACATGATGTTAAATTGTCTTATAAAGTAGCAATCATCAAAACTACCTGGTACTGGCTAAGAAGTAGAGTGGTGGATCAGTGGAATAGGTTAAGTATGAAAGATACAACAGTCAATGACTATATTAATCTGCTATTTAATGAAACCAAAGACTCCAACTTCTGGGATAAGAAATCACTATTTTGCAAAAACTGCTGGGAAAACTGGAAAAATGTATGGCAGAAACTGGGCATAGACCAATATCTTATACCCTATACCAAGTTAAAGTCAAAATGGGTACACGATTTAGATACAAAGACTGATATTATAAGCAAACTAGAAGAACAAGGAATAGTTTGCTTTCAGATCTATGGAAAAGGGAAGAATTTATAAACAAACAAGAGATACAGAACATTATGAAATGCAAAATGGATAATTTTGATTATGTTAAATTGAAAAGTATTTGCACAAACAAAGCCAATGCAATCAAGATTAGGAGGGAAGCAGAAAACTGGAAAAGAATTTTTTACAACCAGTGTCTCTGATAGAGGCCTTATTTCTAAAATATATAGTGAACTAAGTCAAATTTATAAGAATACAAGTCATTCCCTGATTGATAAATGGTCAAATGGGGCAGCTAGGTGGCGCATTGAATAGAGCACTGGCCCTGAAGTCAGGAGGACCTGAGTTCACATCTGGCCTCAGACCAAACACTTGACACTAGCTGTGTGACCTTGGGCAAGTCACTTAACCCCAATTGCCTCACTAAAAATAAACAAAATATATATTAAAGAAATATAATAATAGATAAATGGTCAAAGAATATGAACAGGCAGTTCTCAGAGGAAGAAATTAAAGCTACCTATAGTCACATGAAAAAATGTTCTAAATCACTATTGATTAGAGAAATGCAAATCAAAATGACTCTGAGGTACCACATTACACCTATCAGATTGGCTAACGTGACAAAACAGGGAAATGATAAATGTTGAAGATGTGGGAAAATTGGAGCACTAGTTCATTGTTGGTGGAGTTGTGAGATGATTCAACCATTTTGGAGAGCAATTTGGAACTATGCCCAAAGGGCTATAAAATTGTGAATACTCTCCGACCCGGCAATATCACTTCTAGCTCTCTAATCCAAATGGATCATAAAAGCGGGAAAAGGACCCACATGTACAAAAATATTCATAGCAGATCTTTTTGTGGTGGCAAAGAACTGGAAATTGAGGGGATGCCCATCAACTGGGAAATGGCTTAACAAGTTGTAGTATCTGAATGTAATGGAATACTATTGTGCTGTAAGATATGATGAGCAGGCAGACTTCAAAAAAACTTGGAAAGACTTACATGAACCGATGCAGAGTGAAATGAGCAGAACCAAGAGAAAACTGTACACAGTAACAGCCATATTATGGCATGATTGACTTTGATAGACTTGGCTTTTACAACAATGCAAGAATCTAAGACAACTCCAAAAGACTCAAGATGAAATTGTTTTCCATTCCAGGGAAAGAGCTATGGAGTCTGAATTCAGATAGAAGCATACTATTTGCTCTCCTTTTTCTTTGTTGTTTTGTTTTATTGCTTTATTTTTGTGGTTCCTCCCATTAGTTCTAATTGTTCTTTGCATTATGACTAATGGGAAAATATGCTTAATATAAATGTGTATGTAGAGCCTATATCGAATTGTATGCCATCTTGTAGGGAGGGGGGAAGAAATGGGAGGAAAGATAATTTAAAACTCAAATTCTTATGGAAGTTAATGTTGAAAACTAAAAATAAATTTAAATAATTAAAATTAAAACAAACAAGCAAACAGAAAAAGAATATAGCTCAGCAATTTGAAACTATGCCCAATGGGCACATAAAACCCTTTGACCAAGCAAAGCACTACTGTCCCAAAGAAATTTAAAAAAAAGGGAAAGGACCTCTATGTACAAAAATATTTAAAGCAGGTCTTTTAGTGGTGCAAAGAATTGGAAATTTAGGGGATGTTCATCAATTGGGGAATGGCTGAACAATTTGTTGCATATTTGTGATGGCATGTTATAAAAAAGGATGTGATATAAGAAAGGATGAGCAGAATGCTCTCAGAAAATCTGGGAAGAATTGAACTGATGCAAAGTGAAATGAGCAGAACCATATACAATAAAGGCAATATTGTATGATGATGTATTGTGATTGTGATGATTGTCTCAGCAATACAATTATCCAAGACAGTTCTGGAGGACTTATGTAAAAAGGTGTTATCCATCTCCAGAGAAAGAACTGGTGGAGCTTGAATGCTTATTGAAGGTACTTTTGCTTTATTTTTTCCTGGGGTTTTTTGGTCTATTTTTTCTTTCACAGCATGACTTACATGGAAACTTGTTTTGTGTAACTACACATGTGTAACTCATGTCAAATTGCTTGTCCTCTTAATGCAGGGAGAGGGAGAGAGTTTGGAACTGAAAATGTGAAAAAAAATTGTTTTTATATATAATTGGGGAAAATATTGAAAAAAAGAATATAGTTCAGTTTCTCTCTTCCTAAGAGAACCCAACTCCTGCTACCTTCCTCCTCTCAAATTGCCCCTACCTCTTTTCCCAAAATTCAGGTAGGGCAAGACATATAATAATATACTTTGCCCACTCCTCTGAAACCCAGTTTTGGAGGGAGTTGATCTCCACTTTCCCATGATTCTTTGCTCTCTTCACTCATTACCCAAGCAACTTTTTTTCTGTTACACATCATCATTTATGTTTTGCAGGTAAGGGAATGTAAATTGTATCCCATGAAATATAAATTCAACAACTTCTCCATCCCTCCTCCAGTCTCTTTTAAACTTGGTAGATCTCTTTGTCCCTATATGTTTTCTCTTAGGCATGAGACTATTGTGAAATCTCTCCTTTTATATTTAAAAAATAGCCTTGTCTTTTAAAATCTTTATCTTTACCTTTTTCTCTTTTTATAATTTTAATCACTTTAGTTGGTGTATTTCTTGCTCTTTGAGGGGATATGCAGTGAGGAAGCAGAGAAAAGCAATAACTCACTCTGCCATCTTGATCAAGGTTGATTTGCTTATTTCTATATTGGTATTATATGTGCCATAGCCACTCTTTGCAATGTTTCATCTGCCTTCTCTGATAATCCATATTCCTGATTCACCACAGTTCTTCAAAAGCCCTTTTGCACTTGTTTTCTACTACATGCATGTGTTTTAATATTACTTTGTAAATCAGATCCTCAGTTATTTTATGTAGCAATACTGTTTCCACAAATTGATTTTGAATAATTGAAGAGAAGTATAATATCTTACTTGTTATTTTTTAAGATGCCTACAACAGTTTTTTGTTTGACCCCACTCATATACCAGCCATGGACTGATTAGTCTGGTCAGCCTCCTTTATTTTTATCTCTCTCCCTTATGTATTTTTACTTTTTTATAAAATTAACTCAGATATAATCTGAAGTATAAAACTTTTAGAATTATTTTACAAAAGAAAATGTTAATCACAAAATCAATGGTTCCAATTTATGTAGTAACAATGTTGTATAGAAAACAATTTTGAAAGACTAAAACTCTGATTGATACTGGTCCTAATCTATATATTTCTAAGTCTAATCTATGAAATCATAGCATTTGTAAGTGACGTTCTTGGAGAAAATACCCACATTTAGAGTTCCTCATACATATGAAATCACAGAGCCTTTACATATTCTTATACTGTTATTACTAAGGAATAAGCTAGCATGTTTTATCATCTTTAATTATTCATAGTTTTAGACTTAATAGTTGGAAATTAAAAATCTTATTTTCTGCTACCATAACTAGATGTACTTACAAGGAATATCCCGATATCCATTCTCCAAGGCATGAAAATAATTCATAAATTCCCTTACAGGAATTTTAAAAGTTTCAAAGAGTCCCATGTCTTCAAAAAGTCTGTATGATACCTAAAGAAAGGAAATCCAAAATGCTATAAAAATAATCTAGTAGCACAGATCTAAAATTAGAAATGGAAATGGGCATATCTCATCAAATACCTTAATTCATTGCTACCACAAGATCCATTAATGGGAACAATTGGGTTTTTGCTGGATACCTATTATCTAGCTAGCATTGTTTGAAGCCCAATGGGCTTCAAAAGCAGTCTAATACAGTCACTGAATATAAGGAACTTCCAGTCTATTCAGGGAGAATAGAAAGGCCACCATTAGTGAATAATATAGCATCATTATTTGCTGACATAGTAAACTACTACATTGTGAATTTAGAGGAATGGATTGTCTATTTCTGTCTCACAGAGTCATAGCATCTCAAATTAGGGAGGGATCTTAAATGTATCTATCTGACCAAGGATTCCCTCTATAACATGCCAGCAAATGCAGCAATCCAGTCTGTGGTCAAAGGCTTCTAGTGATGGGAACTTCTTACCTCCAGAAGTAACCCATTCAACTTTTGGATAGCTCTGACTGTTGAGAAAATTTTTTCCTTATTTAACCTATGTCCCAGGGCCCTTCCACAAAAACCTGGGTCCTCATGGACCAACTTCAATCCTAGGGTGGACCTTAAGGAAGACTGCATTCTCTCTTTTGCTCATATATTCTCCTTTGGCTCACCTCAGACAGCAAGTATGCTTTGAGGAAGCTAATTAGGCAATCCTCTTTCCAGCAGACTCACTATCTGGATAAATCAACTGACTTTGCCATCCAACTAGAACACATTCAGGAAATATATTGGCAATATTCTTTTCCCAAGAAATATTGTTGAGTCAGGAAATCTTTCTCTAGGAGTCCTGATTACCCAAACCCTCTAACTTGAACTGAATTCATATTTACCTATGAGACAATCTTGAAAGCTGGGGTGTCTTTCCTAAGTCCAGTGGTGATGTACATGTATGCTTATTTTGTGAGCCTCTGAAGAAGTTCTTTCAGTATCTCTGATACTATTTCTTTAGCTTGAAAAAAAATCTGCTCTCTGGTTCTCCCTCTCAAGTCAAGTACAGGCACATGGACCTCCCACATGCTTCTGCCCTAGGGAAGCCACTTTTATTTCCTGGAGGGAAGTAAGGATTCCCACCCCATCAACTACCTTCCTAGGACCAGGTCTCTTCTACTGAATAATGTTATTTTAGTGTGTTTATATGTGTATATACATGTGTATAGTTAGTATCTTTGCCAAGAAAACCCAAAATGGGGTCATGACGAGTCAGACAAAACTGAAAAAAAAAAAAAAAACAACCACACACACACACACACACACACAAATATATTCAATTGTGGATCAAAAACTGATTTTGTAAAGTTCCATCTTTACATTCTAACATCTCAAACTTAAAATCTCTGAAACAGAACTCATCATCTTCCTCCATTCCCCCCCCAAAAAAAAACACCTTTTCCTTTCTACCAAATGTCCCTATTTTTTATTGGTAGCCTCATCCTTCTAGTTCAGCATTGAAATCTTGGAACCATTTTTGATGTTCCCCTCTTTTTTCACCCTCCACATCCAATTAGAGTCCATGTTTTAGATTCTACCTCCTCAACTACTTTCCTTCGCCCCCCACTTGAAGTTCCAGCCCATTCAATACACAACTATCGAAATACTCACCCCCCAACACAGGTCTTGAATATGCCACTTCACTATAAAAAATTAATGGCTTTCCATTACTTATAGGATAAAATACAAAATCTTTGGTCTTATATTTAATGGTTTCCACAATCTGGTTCCAGTCTCTCTCTTGTTATCCTGGATTATTTTACTTTTCCCTGATCTCATCATGCACCTTCTTGCTTTTATGAGTCTTACAAGCCATCATCTGTGCCTTCAATGTACTTCCTTCTTAATGTAACTAGTTGAAATCTTTCTCTTCCTACATGATTCCATTTAGGATTTAAATCCTTTAGGAACCCTTCCCTGACATTCCCAGTATTTTCTTTTACCTTATTTTTGTAAGGCAATGTGTCTGGATTTCTCCTTTACTCCTATCATATTCTATTTTGTACCATATTTATTTGTGTAAAACTATATATTCTTCTCCCTTGAGTAAACTATTATCTTGAATGCAGAGATCATTTGTATAAATACATTTTTAATATTCCAGAACTTAACAAACACCAAAAGAATAGTCATTTCCATATACAAAGTAGAAAAAAGAATTGTACATGCAACTGCAAGTCCCTATAACAAATAGCTTACTTTTCCATTTAAATATGTAATATATTTAGCAATTGATTTTAAAAGTTTTCCCACATGCTTGTCATTGTTTTCTTCTACTCTTCCTTCTGTTCTCTTTTGTGCTTTAAAAAAAATGTTTCATATTTATGGCAAGAAGGTAGGGAACCAATATGGAAGAATAGGGGCACCCACCCAGCTGAATTCTTCCAACATTCCTCTCCAAAATGTTAAAATAACACTTCAAATCAAATTTTGGAGTGACAGAGCCAACAAAAGGTCAGGTTAAGACATTGTCCCAGTCTAAGAAAACTTATGAGGTTGGCAGGAAAAGTCTATGACATCAGGGTCCTGAGTCTGCACATGTAGAAGAGGTAACAGCAGCCACAGCAGCAGCAGAATTTATTTCAGGAGGTCTCATCTTAGAGGTGATAAAGGGGTTGGATAAGTGGTCAGAAAGAGAATATAGGAGACCCTTTGCAGGTACTGGGTACAGCTGGTGCTGACTGGCAATTCTATTGCTCATACATAGTTATGGCTCATAGTTCTAGAGTAGAGAGGAGAGGTATTAGTTGGTTACAATGGAGCAGGGAACTCTGGTCACAGCTCTAAGGCAAAGTAGAGTACTAGTGCTTATGTCTGCAAGGCTTCTGGCCATAAAGACAGAGCACCAGACCAAGAAAACAGTGACTACACCTCTCCAAGAATCATACCACCTCAGAAGCATTAAAAATTTTCAGACTCCCCAGAAAGAGCTCTGAAAACAGCAGCAAAAAATAACCTAAATCTTGAGACAGAGCCTTCCACAGATGAAGAGAGTCCAATTTTAACATAAAATTCAAAGTCAAGAAATACGACAGAAAAAACAAGCAAACAAAAAGAATTAGACTATAAAAAGCTCCTATGATGACAGAGAAGACCAAAACAAACTCAAAGAAGACAACAATGAGAAAAGAGCTACAAAACACGTCATGCTAAAAGAGGGACACAAAAAAAAAACATTTAAAGAAAATAACACTTCAGAAAACAGAACTGACCTAACAGTAAAGGAGGCACAAAAATTCACTGAAGAAAAGAACTCCTTAAATAAATAGCAGAATTGGTCAAATGGAAAGAGGCACACAATCTCACTGAAGATAATAATTCTCTAAAATTAAAATTGGGCAATTGGAAACTAATGACTCCATGAGACATTAAGAAACAATAAAACAAAGTCAAAAAATGGAAAAATAGAAGAAAATGTGAGATGTTTCACTGGAAAAAACTACTGACAGAAATAGATCAAGGAGAAATAGTTTAAGAATTACTGGACTACCTGAAAGCCATGATTTTAAAAAAAGAGCCTACACATTCATATGTCAAGAAATTGTCAAGGAAAACTGTTCTGATGTAATAGATCCACAGGGTAAAATGGAAATTGAAAGAATTCACTGCTCACCTCCTGAAAGAGATTCCATAATGAAAACTCTCAGGTATATTATAGCCAAATTCCAGAACTCCTGGGTCTAAAAGAAAATACTTCAAGCAGCCAGGAAACAAATCAAATACTGTGGAACCACAGTCAGGATAACACAAGATTTAGTAGTTTCTGCATTAAAAGAATGGGAGGCTTGGGATATAATATTTCAGAAAGAAAAGGAGCTAGGATTATAACCAAGAATAAACTACCCAGCAAAATTGAATATAATTCTTCAGGAGGAAATACATACATTTAATGAAATAGAAGACTTTCAAGCATCCCTGATGAAAATAGAGCTGAATAAATAGACATTCAAACACAAGACTCAAGAGAAGCATAAAAAGGTAAACACAAAAAAAAACAATCAAAAAGAACTCAATAAAGGTAAATTGTTTACATTCCTATATGGGAAGATGATACATTCAACTCAGAAGAATGTTACCATTAATATGGAAGTGACAAGAAGTTTACGTAGAGAAAGGGCAGAGTTCACTATATTAGAATGATCTAAAAAAAAGAAATGAAGGGGTGAGAAAGATGATGTACTGGGAAAAGGAAGAAGGGAGAAGGGAGAAGTTAAATGGGGAAAATTTTCTCACATAAAAGAACTTTCACAACGGAAGGGTGGGGAATGCTTAAATCTCAATATTATCAGAATTGGTTCAGAGGAAAGAATACATAAACACATTGGGTTAGGCATAGAAATATATCTTATCTGAAAGAAAAATAGGAGGGAAAAGGGATAATAAATGTGGGAGAGGGTCATAAAAGGGAGAGCAAATTAAAGGAGGCAGTGTTCAGAAGCAAAACAAATTTTTGGGGAGGAACAGGATTAAAAAAGAGCAAGAAAGATAAACAGAAGAAAATAGGATGGAAGGAAATACATAACAATCATAACTGTGAATGTGAACAGGAAAAGAAGTGGACATAAGAATGACTCAGAAACCAGATTCAAACAATATGTTGTTTACAAAAGACACATGAAATAGAAATACATAGATAGAGCTAAAGGGCTGGAGCAGAATCTATTATTCTTAAGCTAAAGTAAAAAAGGCAAGGGTAGCAATCATGATCTTAGACAAATCAAAAGCAAAAAAAAATGGACCTAATTAAAACTGATAAGCAGGGACACTAAACTGTGTTAAAAGGTACCATAGACAATGAAGTAACATGCAAAAAAAAAAGTTATCAGAAGTTCCTCTCATAAAGGCTTAATTTGTCAAATATAATCTAAGTGTAGAACTGAGTGAAGTTCATAAAAATGAAAGCAAATTCCTTAATTGGTTAATGGTCAAAGGATCTGAACAATCAATTTCCAGGAAA